TTCCCTCCCATCAGTAGGTGGGAGCTGCTGCTTCTCTTCCTCCTTTCCTTCTTCGTGCTGCCAGGTGACAAGGGGATGGTGGGTGCTGGGTCCAGGCAATTCTGACACCCATTTATAATGCAACTTGCTAGGACAGGACAGCCCATAACAGTTTTGTTTCAAGGCTCTAGCAGCCCCTCTGATAACCTGCTGCCGGGAAGTGAACATGTGTGCAGGCTTTTTCACTTTCTCCCCAGCATACACCCCAAACCAGACCTTGTGGAAGTGACATCTGTCACAATTCACTGGAGTCCTGTACAATGGATAGGCTAGAAAGGGACCAAGTAACGACCTTGCAACCCCATGGGCTGCTTGAGCCTTGGACTTCAAACAGCCATGCATGATCTGAGAGAATTCTCACAGCTTGTGACTGCTCATTTCCACATCCAGATCATTGATCATTTTGCTTCAATACACTTTCTTTTCAGGAAATGGGACCAAGTGGCTAGGCATTTTTTATCATCATTGATCTTCATCTGTTTGGGAATAACTTCTCACTGCACTTCTGATGCATCACAACAGCCTTGGAAATGAAGAATGTGATATCAAAATGCACTTATGTAAGTGCCTCTCCCCACCCCCTCAAAGAGAATCAGACTTGAAACTGAGTGATAAGCATAAAAATCCATTGTTACACAGGTAGAAAAATGAATAGGAGGCTGTAGAAATGGACACACTCTTTATTCTGGCTTCTTGGTCTTTGTTGAAGAAAAGACCTAACTTCAGTCAGGGGATCCGGAGCAATATTTGGCCCCAAAATTAGTCAAGTGCCTGACATGGCACTGAAATGCAAAATGTCAGAGATAAAAGCAGAAGAGAATGAGTAGAGCCAGTGGTTTGAGTCCCTCTGAGAATCTTGCATTAATAAATCAATGAGAAATTTAAATAGTTGGGAGTCTCTTGACCAGCAGGTACTGGAACAAGTTACTGAAAGTTGCTGTGGAGGGATGTTTCTTGTAAGTGACAGTACCAAATTTCTCCATGATGAAAGGCCAAGACATCTGAAAAGTGTTTACACAATTTTACTGGCATCTACAAGATTCCTCTTACAGTCACAACAGTGTCCACAGCTTTGCAGGAAGTAGGTTTGAAGCCCACAAACATTTTTGTTTGAAAGCTGTTAACTGAGGTCTAAACCAGCACACAAAGGAGCTCAGCACCATTTCAGTGCGCAAGCCAGAAGACATGAAAGGACTGACATTAGAGACTGCTGAGATTTCAAACCCCACTCAGGTTTTCAGAGTATTAAGGGCTTGAAAAATACCAATGCTAGGTGATCTAGAAATTGGACTAGATTGACAGTGAGTCTGATTCCCTAGTACAGGGGTGGCCAACTTGTGGCAAGCATGCCAAAGTAGCATGGAAAGCCTCTCTGCATGGCACAAAGAAGAACAAGGAGAGACATGCAGCACAATAGCAGGTAGGGCAGGAAGCAGAAAAGAGAGCAGCAGATGGGTAGGGAGCACGTAGTAAGAGGCAGAAAGGAGAGCAGATTGGGAAGAGTACAGAACAGGAAGCAGAGCAGCAGGTCAGGCAGAGGAAGGGGATTGCAGTGGCACTTGCAGAGGGTATGGAGCTAATCTGTGGCACACTTGCCAAAAAGTTTGGTTCCTATTGCTACTGTCATCCAGACTAAATCTTTCATTTCCTGTGGTTATTCTTTCTTGCACTGTCAAAGCCTAAAGTCATGCTGACCTCAGTGGGTAATAACTGTGATGATTGCCTTATTTGTTTTTAAACTGTTTGAATGTATTACCACAATATGAAGCAACCAGCGATGGTTTAACTATAGACATTAAGACCAAATAGATCATCAGGAAGATGCTTTTGCAAGTGCCAGCTATTTACTTTGCTTGCATTCAGCTTGGCACACCTGCTTTTCAAGTTCACAACTTCCTTACAGAATCAGAACAATTGCACCCTATAAAACAGCTATAAACAGTTGCCATCCCAGATGCACAGTGCACTCCCCACACCTTATCCCATAAAAAGCCAGATTCTCACCACATTTTCACCCCCAAGACATTTAACTCATCTAAACGGAATGTAAAATTTCTCCCTGCCCAAACTGCATGTCTTATTCTATTTGGCCAAAGGTCCCTACTGCATTTGGATGCACATTATTTAGACTGTCTACAGTACAGTTCTAGGAAGGTCCACAGCTGTACTGCACCAACAGCACCAATAATATAGACAGGAGTCTGGGGGTACTGGTGTTTCTATTACTATCGAGCAAATCTGAGAAGCTTGTCAGCTACCAATGGCCAGTATCTCCCCTGCTTATTACTGCAATACAAAAATAAATCTGCCTATAAAGCCACCTATTATTCTAATCTATTCTGATGAAGAGCAGTTAAAGTAATCAAGGAAAAAATGGCATCTTCAAGAGAAACTAATTTCAGCAGTGTTCAATAATGACCTTTCTTTTCACCTCCAAAAACAGTTTCTTCTTAAACAGCTTTCTAAATGAAAAGCAACTGCAGAGATTACAGATATTGTCCATTCAACAAGGATCCAGTGCCAAGCATTCTGAGAATGCTGGTACGAATTGAGAAAAAAAAAGAAAATTTCATTTTTTACCCAAGACTGACAGTAAGGGGCCTTAAACTTTCTTGATAACTACACTATTTAGCTTGGAAGCTTTGATGATCTTTGTATTCTTGGCACATTCGTTGTCATTACAGATGATTTCCTGGCACAGCTCCTTTGAAGAAAAAAAAGCAGCTTAATTTGACTTCCTGTGAGGGGACATTCTGCCCCTCACAGGAACAATGCATCAATAGGAAAGGGGACATTACAAGCTTCAGCTGACAGAATTTCCTACTCTCTTGTGTTGAATGGTTTTTCCAACCCCTAGGTGCAGCCTGGGATTACAGCAACACTTCGATCCACAGATGCAAAGGGGTATTTCCCCAGTGGGCTTATGTACTGCCCCAACTGTATCCTCTTCTCACTTCATGCTGGGCACCACTGGCTCCTGAAAAACAGCTGTACTCTTAGGATTTATCATCACCTCAGCTGCTTCTGGAGCCTCTCAAAAGGGAGGTTCTACAGTACAAACAGGGAAGCAACTTAAATTGATAAGTCTCTAGGACTAAAACCAGACATCAGATTTCTCCAAGGAGAAAGCCTGTTGTCCTGGGATTCTGCATCCATACAATCCCACTGTCCCACTCTAAGTACCTGTGAGGTATGCAAGATAATGCACACTAACACTTTCCCCCCCAGACAATCAAGGCTCATTTAAGTTACCTGCCATTTATTCCAAGGACAAGCTACATGTGTAAATGGTTGTGCTGCTTTTCTTTTGTATCAGGTTGACGCTGATCCGCAAGAACTGCTTCCAACACCACCTCTGTTTTTAGCCTAGTTGTATTAACATGTGCTTCCTGCAGTCCCTTCAGAGCACCTGATGAAGTAAGTTGCTGCTTACTTCAGGCTGAACAGACTAAATCTGATTCAGTTAGTCGATAACTTTGGAGTTAGACTAGGGGTTTTCAACCCAGGGTACGTGTACCCCTGGGGGTACTTGGGATGGCCTCAGGGGGTACTTGGCAGTGGGCATTGCCACCGGCACTTCCGCCACCACCGTGCTACCAGCACACTCATTGATTGGCCACTGGGGAACACCCCCACCACCACCAATTGGCCGCGGGGGAGGCCTCCCCTGCTCATCGACTGGCCACTGGGGGACTCCTTGCTTCTTGGTCAGCCAGCAGGGGTACACTGACCCAAAAAGTTTGAAAACCCCCAAATTAGACTGTTCTGAGTGATGACAGAACAAAGAGCAATGGTGCCAAGTTGCATCAAGGGACGTTTAGGTTGGATAGTATGAAAAACTTTCTCCCTAGGAGGGTGGCGAAACACTGGAATGGGTTACCTTGTTACGTTTTTAAGGCTCAGCTGAACAAAGCCCTGGCTGGAACGAACTTCATCAGGATGGTCCTGCTTTAAGCAGAGGGTTGGACTAGATGCCCTCCTGGGGTCCCTTCCAACCCTAATATTCTGATTCTATGGGGTGCAGATCTACCCCACCTTCCGCCTGACTTGAGACCAACATGGCTAACTACCTCTCTCTGTGTCTGAAGAAGCCAAGCCAACTCCTGCTCTCCATTTGCTCTAGTAGTAGAGCAGGACTTCTGCGGAGTCCCCACATAGGGCAGCAGTGGAGATGGGTGAGCATGCTGCAGATGTAGAACTCTTCAATGGATGAGGAGGGGAGCAGGTGGCACAAGCATCTGCCTACTGGATCGTATCACCATTCCAATAAAGAACAGGGCTTATTGCTGTTGCTAAAGAAATCGACTTGAATACTGTAACTTCACATAAGCAAATAGCCCACCAGCTCATTTTCCTAGAGGCTTAAGTAGGTTAACATCACTTGCAGACTTCAAAGACTGCTAGTTCTTTCTAGAAACAGCAAAAGCAGGTTGCTTTATTGCAGATCTTGTGTTCCAATGTGAATTTTAATTCCACAGTATTTTAAGTTGATTCTTTCCTAATACATATATGGTTACGAATATTTGCATATGACCTACATGGATTATAAATGTAGCTACTTCGGCATTACTTTATTCAATTCTATATTGCCTGGCAAGCCTGTGTAAACTGAATATATGCACTGACTGTACTCTACCATGTGGGCAATCTTTTCTTTTTTAGTACAGTATTCTATTTTAAAATGAAAACAGGGCATTATAGCAGAGTTCAGGAACTACACTTGATCTGAGCCAAGAAAGCCAAGAAGTGTAACAAAGAAACGTTCTTCACAACAGACCAACTTTTGCCTATTACAGTTGGAATACTATGCTTGTTTTCTACATTCTTGTTTTCATTAAAAATTTTTTTGCCAACTTCAAGGTTAACCAGGTAAACTTGTTGCTATTGTTTTTTTAGCAGCTCGCAGCCACCAACATCCTTAGAATACACTGATTTAATCTCTGGACAGCACACATCAAGGATTCATCTCTGTCATCTGCAGCATAAATTTTATTTTAGTTTTGTAGTCTCAAAGACAGAGTGCCACTTTTTTTTTCTATAAAGCTTCTGAAATTGACAGTTCTAACTATATAATTAAAGCATTGTACCACCACCAAGGAACGTGCTAGATTTAGGCAAGAACTGCACGCAAACTTGCATCTTGATATGTTATGAAACCTCTCATGGAGTGTATTAACATGAATTAGTCTTGGCCCTTCAGCCTCCATGAATCTGTTTCAACACACACGTGAAAACTGACTGTTGTTACTGTCCTAGTCACTAGTTGTTCATATTACAAAACTACCACCCAAATGTCAGTCTCTGGACAATGAAGGTTTGTCACTGAACAGGAAGTAGTGTGTGCAAGGCTGGCAGAGCACTTCTTGCACTATGTCTAGTTCAAGCAAGTGTTAACTCTCCTCACCTTTTAAAAAAATAGTTTCAGTTATATATCAAGTCAGTAAATGGTAATACCTCAAAAAAAATTTAAGCATAGCACTAACATAGTTATATTAACATTTTGGACCAGGAGATGCAATATTACCAATAAATAATCCTGAAAAAGAACATGTGTCAATTTTGTACCTGAGCAGATGGTTTTCTTACCATATACAACACTTCGCTATATGTAATTTGAACAGTTCCATTGTTTGGCACATCCTGTTTCAGTCAGATTTTATGGCTTTTTGTTGAAGTAGCATTAATACTTTCCCAACATTAGGAAAACAATTTTATTGAAAATTTTGAAAAAAAATTGCAGATAATCATTACTAAGTTATGAAGCCAGTACAGTATGTACTCTGATAGTTTCAAAATTTTACACACTGAGAGAAAAAAGTTGCACTAGTGATCAATGCAAAGTATTATAACGTCTAAATCTTACAAGACAGAAAATGATAGTTCTTGCAATTTAAAACATACTCTCAATGAAATGTCTCAATCAGCTTTTTTCATGAAGTGGCTTCTGTTCGGGCAATAACTTCATTTACAAAACTGTTATTCTTTGCCAGCACTTCAGCTTTCAGTTGTTTCAGTTTGGTTTTGATGTCTTCCTCAGACATGTCTGTCAACGGCAATGCTTTCACTTGATAAACAAAGTCCTGAATTATTTTTTCACCTTCCTGAAAGAAAAAAATGAATGTGCAATTAGTCCTTAAGCCTACTCCCTCCAACATCTCTCCAAGAAAACAGTGGAGTTCTGTTAAGCAGTAAAAAAAATGTCTGAAGGCCAAAGGCTGGTATTTTGGCATTTGTTGCTCTTTTGGCAAGAGCTATATCAATGTGTACATTTTCACTTAACAATCTGTGAACAAAAACATTTGTTGCTATGTTGAGATAGGCTTTTGTCTGTGGCTGCAGGGGACTGAAGGAGGCCTTAAACTGCAACAGAAGATATTTATATAGGAAATTAGAAATAATTTTCTAACTATGAGAGTGGTCAAGCACTGAAACAGGCTACCTAGAGGAACTGTGTAATCGCAATCCTTGGAAATGTTCAAGAGCAGCTTGGACAAACACTTGGTTGGGGGTAGTTTAGTCAGAGATGATCCTGTCTTGAAGCAGCGGGCTGAACTAGATGATCTTGTGAGGTCCCTTCCAACCCTACTTCTCTATGATCCTATGATTAATCCTCTGATCTATGGTCTTATGATTAAAGTTGCCAGGTGTGGGAAATGCTATATGTTTTAAGAACCTGACAGTCTGAAAGGCTGAATTTACTATGTGTGTTTCATATTTAATTTCTGCTCATAATTTTAGTTCTGGAGCTGGGCACCAAGTGCATACGAAGACTGGTCCAACCCCTGTAATCAGCAGTAGCTGTACCACCTCGACTAGATACTGGGATGCTAAACTGCAAACAAAAAAATGTTTTTAACATTCCAAGGGAAAGAAGAGTTTGTTACCAAGCAACCAAAGACTGGCAGTCACTAAGGAGAACAGGTTAAAACGAAGACTTATGTACTTGCCTTTAAGGAAAGACTAAAAGTGGAATTTTTTTTTTAAGTGATAAGCAGGGATCCTGGTTTTCTCTATAAAAAAAATTTGCAAATTCTCTGATAAAAACCCCAAAATCCACGATTAAAATGAAATGCTACTATATATAGGTATCAATTGAACACTATGTTTTATTGATATACTTATAATTTTAAAGCAATTTGGAAACATTTGGAAGCCTACAATCACTATAGTAAAATAAATTCTAAGTACCTATAAATTTTGGTATTTGATTTGGGGTTCTTTATCATGGAAAATCAGGGCGCTTTCTGCCCCCCCCTTAGCTTACCAGAAGGCAGGTCCAGGCCCCTCACTCCCAAACCACAATCCCCCAGTCCTGCTGGTGCCCCTCAATCCCCACCCACAGCACCCTAGCCCTGCTAGTGACCCTCGCTCCCCACAAACAGCCCCCTCACCCCTGCTGGTGTCCCTCACCTCCCACCCCTCCAGCCCTGCTGGGGGAGCCCCAAGTTGCCAGGGCTACGGGGCCAGGGACCCTGGTCCGCAGACCCTTGCCCCCACAGCAGCACCTGAGCCCTGGGTGCCACTCGCAGGAGGCAACGGCTGCTGCATCTTGAGTAGGGACCCCGGCTCCCCCTCCCCCACAGGCAGCATGGCCAAAGTGGAGCCTATGGAGGGGGGAAGGTGGATGCAGGCTGCCTGCTGCAGACTCAGGCAGGGGAGAATTGGGGCTGGCTCCCTGCTGCTGCGCACACTCCCAGGGGGCAAAGGGAGGACGTGGCCCCAGATCTGTGCACAGGGCCTCTCCCAGAGCCTCCGCAGCCCAGCAGGGCTAGGCAGGGAAGCTTGCTGCAGCCGCTGTGAGCCCGATGCTGCTCTGGTGATGAGCTTGCTGCCCGCCCCAGAGCAGGGGGGCAGCAGTGTGGGACTGTGCCCCTCGCTGCTCCGGGGTGGGCAGGTCCTGCCCACCAGGCTGTGAAGGCCCTGGGGGAGAGCAACAGGGTGGGGAGCCCAAGCCTGTAGAGGGCAGCCTGCCCCTGCCCTGCACACAAATCTGGGGAGCATCCCCCCACATCCCTTCAGGAGTGCGCACAGCAGCAGGGAGCTGTCCCCATTCCCCCCACCTCCCAGATGAGCTGCCCGCAGCTCCGTCCCACTCCCTGCCAGGGCCCTGTAGCCGTGTATTGCAGCCCTGGGCCTAAGCCCCAGAAACTCTGCCAGCCTGCAGAGAGCTATCTGCAAAAAAACAAAATCTGTGCATTTCTCTATTAAAATTAAAAATCTGCAAAATTCCACATAAATCTATATGCACTGTAAGACACCATGGCAGAAACCTGCTTAATACCATGGCTCTTACTAATATGAACTAATGTGGTGAGCATTCAGCGTGGAAATCTCCACCAGTCCAAGGGACTTGGAGATATAATAGCACCAGCCTTGTTGTAGAAGCAACTAGCTTGGGAAGCTATCTGAAGCTCTGCACTTCAATCGCTTCTCAACCCAAAAGCATTCTAAAAAGCCTAACTCTGGGACAAAATGTAATTCACAACACCTGAGAATAAAGTATTACAAACAGTTTAATGATCAAGTTAAGAGATGACATTGTTTCTCATGGTTGGATTCAATTTGGTGTTCATAATATTTCACATTAACCTTTTAAGGCAAGATGCAATGAAAGAGCTCTTAAAAGGAAACTTGCCTAAATTGAGTAGCCTGCACAGACTCCAAACACCTGGAATGTATTAAAAATACATGTATTTTCAATGTCTTGCTAGAATACTTTCCTACAGCGGACCTGCATGCATGCCCCCTAGCAGAGGTAAATGCTGGGACTTAAGGGCATGCTATTGAAGACCAAGGTCTCAACCAAACTTCTGTGCCTTTTTCACATAATTGTGATTCCACAACAAGCATATGGATGTATTAGCAAATTATTAAACTATTTATTTACTTAATTATTAGTTAATTATTATAATGATAGGTTTATTTTATTATTGTTGTTATTGTTCTTATTAAAATAAGTGTATATGATAGCCCATGGACTGGTACTAAGAGACCAATTTCTCACTTTTATCCCCAACTCTTGTGACAGTAGCAAGTAAAAAAAAAAAACCTCAAGGAAGATATTGCAGACATATTCTTAAATATCATGCACCAGATCCAGCTACAAAATTAATAAATAGCACAGACATCATGACAAAACACTAGCTAGCAGCTTCTCTCCATAATAAAAGAAGTATCTTAAAATGTGGAAGCTGTTCTGGGTCTGGTGGGATGTACGTGCATCACTGGGCTGAACAAGCTGCAATGCAAAGACCAATACATTAAGAAGAAATGGTTTCCTTAGACACTGGAGGCACAGCTTCTTTAGAGTACAGTTAGAGGGCTGATATTTGAGTTTTACAAGTTTTCCTGGCCCACTTCCAAAACAAATTCAATTCTGCCACCTGTCTGTTCACATAAGACAGTGGGGTCCAACTCATTCAGCCCCACAAGCTGGAGCCAGTCTAGGGTGCCACATGCCACCCATGCTCCAGACCCCGTGCTGTGAGCAGCACTGGGTCCAACCTGCATTGCCATAGTCAGCATACACCCCATGCTAGCCCCCTTTGTTGCATGCAGCATGTGTGGCCAGGCCAGCCCCACAAACTGCATGCAGTACAGGCCAGCCGCAGGGCTTCCTGTGCATGTGGGACCAGCCCTACAGCATTTGGGCTGGACTGGGAGCTGTGCATGGCACAGGAGGTCTGGGACACAGGCTGGATACGCCACTCCCAGACAGGTCCTGCCCGTGTGCTGAACGCAGCATGTGGGGTAGTAGCCAGCATATGGGTGACCCACAGGCCAGATCATATGGCTCCATAGGCTGGACCCAGCCCATGGGCCATATGTTTGACGCCCCGGATACAGCATGATAGGTTTGCCAGCCATCAGGTTTCTAATGCAAAATCACCACATTAGAAAGGTTGTGTTACATTCCTATGGTTTACTTTTTGCTACTGGCCCAACAAAATTAGTCTGACGGAGTATTACTTATTGAAATAAGCTACACAAAGGAGTCACCAAAGTGAAATCTATTTTTATGGAGAAGATGCCTAATTAGGTCCATTTAAATTCAGAGGAATCTGAACCAAAGCCTACTCTCTAAATACTCACTGAACTTCAAGAATGAACTTTGAAGCCAGACCATTTTTATAATGCAGCAAACTGGCACTTTAGCATAAAATGTGCTTTGGGGAAGTTTTGTTCCCAAGCTATTCAGTTTCAGTTTGTCTAGCTTAAACATAGTTCTGTCAGCAAACCTGTTTTTCTCGGTAGCATCTCTTCACTGCTGGCTCTCCTTCAGATTCCTCGGGCTCTCCAATGTTTTGGAACTCCTCCAGCTCCAGAGCTTTCTCTTTTGCACTCTCTATTACATGTTTTGGAAAAGCAACAAGCTCTGCTACATGTATCCCAAAGCTCTGGTCACAAACACCTGGAAGAAAATAACTAGTCAATTCTCAGGAAACAATATGTATGATATATTAGATCACATGAACAATCCCTAAACTCTCGGTTTTCAAGAGATGACTGATGTTGTTTGACTCTCCTAATATCTACCAATTTACAAACATATGATCTATGTTTGATAAGGAAATGTGCATTTATCTGATTACAGAAAGGTAGTTAAGCTGAGCTGGTCTGAAGTCAGGCAGAAGGCTAAATTTAGTTAGTCTCTAGGGGTGCCTATACATGAGAAGGGAGGCTGCTCTGACACACTTTAATTACAGTGCATCAGAGCAGACTTGATTAATCCAGACTGCTGGAGTATGGTAGTTACTGTGCTCCTGCAGGCTCCTGCATCTCGTGTATCAGCATCCCCACACTTAAAAATGGTGGCAGGGGCACTTGAACTAAAGCTCGTCGAACGAGCTTTAGTTCAAGTGCCCCTGCCACCATTTTTAAATGCAGGGACACTGATACATGAGACACTATGGTGCTTTAATTACAGAGGCTCTCGTCGCCACTCTAATTAAAGCGCCACCCCCCTCCATCTCCAGAGCACATGTAAAAGTCCTAAAGGTGCGTCTCTACCATGCCTTCTGTTTGATTACAATCCTAGCCGAACAGATAAAAGGGAAAATTTCTTTAAGTACAAAAATGTTTCCAATACCTTAAAAAATATTTCTCTCTTTTTTTTTTTTTTTTTTTAGTGTATTTGAATTTCCTAAATTTCAATCAAGTGTTTCAGTACGCAGCTCTGCAGCATATTATCAGCTATGCCAAGATTTAAACCCATCCTTGTTGACTGCAGTTACTTTAATAGTACACATTTCCCCAGTACAGAAGTATGGGGGGGTTTTGTTGTTGTTGTTTTTTTAAGGTATGCCAAAACCTCTTACTTTGCACCTCACTGCTATTAAATTCACTAACGTAAAGTACCATGTGTACTACAGAGATGTGTAAGAGACAAAAATAAATATCTCATTTGCTCTGATTGTTAAATATCTCATTTGCTCTTATGTCAGAATAAGCACCTAAAGAGCAATTTTCATTATTAGTAGCCCTCCTTGGTACATTCTTATCAACTCCAGGCCTGACAGGCCCTCTACCTACTCTGTGAAGAATCCAAGTAGGACACCAGAGCTAATACTAGTAGGTATGGACTAAAAACTGGTTGAGAGATGAAAAAGCAGTCTAATAAATAGGCAGTGACCAACAAGGGGAAATAATGGTAAGGTCCCTCAGGACTAAGGTTCTGTCAGTGTATAATGAATATATTTATCAATTATTTAAAAGGACGAAGGAAATAGTGAGTGGGAAGACTGAAAAGGAAAAGACCCACTGAGGCCTAGAGAGATTATTGAAGAACTTCAAAATAGAGGTGCACCGATGGATCGGTACAGATATAAAGAAAATCTGCTGTATTGGATATCAGCCCAATGAGGCCGATAAATGCCCGTGCTGCACACAGCTGCAGTACAGCACTCAAGCAGGCAGGAGCAGAGCCAGCAGCATGGAGAGCTGTCTCCAGCTGGACAGTCCAGTGTGGTGGAAGGGGAGGGGGGGAGGGAAGAGATGTGTGTGTGTGGGGGGGCAGAACAAACACCCCACAGTGAGGGAGGGGGCAGGGGCAGCAGCAGGCTCCACCCAGGCAGGGTGAGGAGGGCCAGAGCCACGGCTCGTGCTTGCAGCCTGGGAGGGCATGGGGGGGGTGGGAGGGGTATGTGTCCCTGGATCTGGGTGGAGGCGGGGCATTGAGCCGGGGCTGTGCCGGGCAGCTGGTGGCAGCGGTGCTGGGAGCAGAGCAGCGGTGAAATTTGGGGTAAATGCAACATCCTCCCAGCGCCACCGGTGCCCACTCCAAGCCCCGCCCCCACTGAGAGCAGCTACATGCAGTCCACCCCGCCCCGTGCAGATCCAGGGGGCACATTTCCCCCCATCCCCATGCCCTCTGGGGGTGCAAGCAGCGGTGGGAGCCACCACCCCCCAGCCGTGGCTCCACCCCCTTCTGCCCTGCCTGGGCAGTGCCTGCCTCTGCCCCTGCCCTATCCCTCACCACGGGGGGAGCATTGATCTGCCCTCTCCCTCCCCTTCCACCACATCGGACTTATCAGCTGGAGGCAGCTGTGTCGGATATCAGATCAGTATGAGCTGATATGCCTCCTTAAATTTCGGCTATCAGTATCCACCCCCAAAATCCATATTGGTGCACCCTTACTTCAAAAGTAAGCGGACAACACAATGATGAGTTAATTTTAGAATAAAAGTTCTGGAAGGAATAATTTGAACCTACATGGGTTCTAAGTTAAATACTGAAGTCAAGAAGAAGAAGAAAAGTGTGTCATAGTGAACAGCTGCAAGAGAACTTCCATTTTATTATATACAGAGGCAGTAAAAATCGAAGATATTAAGCTAAACTAAGAAAAAGAAAGCAATGCATTTAAAAATGTGTCACGTACATTGATGGTAAAATTTTATATGGGGGCAATGATCTTAGGAAAAATCAAGGAGGGCTTACAAACCCGTTAATGGATGGTTTAGTCTCAACCTTAACAGAACACAATTTTTTAGGACCAATGTTCCCCAGGCTTCAGGAGGCAAGACACCCATTGATTTCTCAGTCACAGAAAGAAACACTTCCTCCCTTAGGCAACATATTAAGCATCTTATGACTGTTTTATAACATGTTTGAAGCACCTGTGATACTAGCTCTGTTGGAGACTAGTTATTGGCTATTGATCTGATACAGTACAGGAATTCTTATGTTTCTATCTATTTTTACACCATCTGTTCCAGGGTGCTCAACCTCTTGCCTGCAGGACAAATGTAGTCTATGGAGCCATTGCATCCGACACATGGGGCCCACCACAGGTTGGGCAATTTGGTGGTGGGGGAACAGTGGCCACCCTCTCCCACCACCAAATTCCCATAGCCCCTCTGCCAACACAGCTAGATCCAGGTTGTCCATGCCCCCTTCTCTCTGCACCACCAAGTTGGGATGAAGCCACACTCCCTTCCTCCCGCTCAGCTGAATCAGCACCAGGCCACACCCCATTCCCCCCACACTGCTGGGTTGGAGCTGGGTCATGACCAGTTCTCCCTGTGGGGCTGAAACAAGGTTGGGCCATGTCCCCTCCCCCTCTCAGATAGATGGGACACTGCCGTGCCTGCCCTGGGCACCAGATCAGGGCCACTGGCCACATCTGGCCTGTGGATGGACCAGGCACTGCCTATCCAGCCTGCCAAAGGAAAAGGTTCAACCCCAATGATCTATGCTATTCTTTTACCAGGCTAAAAAATGTTCATTTTGATTAATCTTCCAAAGAAAGGAATAAAAAAAAAGGAAAATGAGAAATCCTGAATGATAATGCAGTAAGCTAATATAGCTTTAGCGTTTTTTTTAAAAAGACCTTGTTGACCTTGATTTAAAAAAAAGCAAGAGACATGGTTGTAGGTTTGCTACAACAGTGCTTTAAACAGTACAGAGTTTATTGCCAGATTATACTTCAAAAGTTGTTGAGCTTACACTCTTAAAGCCAAAATTAATCATCTGATCCAATAATAGGTATTGGCAGTTCCAACCAAATATGCCTATAATTAATTTCAAGCATGGAAATGTATGAGAATACTGGTTGCTTCACTAATGTGCCCTTGAGAATGGGGAGAAGGGGGGTGGGGGGCGAAGCAGCCTTGCTAAACCAGGCTTGCTGTGATGTCTTCAGTGATACTGGGCATTTATACACATACATTTTGGTCCTGTGACACACCGGAGATCCACCAGAGATCCATGCATGAGCTAACACGCACTGTGCTGTGTCACAGTCAGTTATATAAGCAGTGAAATGCACGTCAGCGTGCAGAAAATGGTGGCAGTGAGCTTTTGAACTAAAGTACTTTCTATGTGTTTTAGTTCAAAAGCGCACCACCACCATTTTCTCAGCACTGACGTGCATTTCGCCACTTATACAACTGCAAGTGTCACAGTGCCAGGCACTTTTCCAAGCACCCGGTGCTGCGGTGCCTACATATGTAAAAATGGCCCAAGTCTCTTTATAAAGTTCTATTTCCTAATCACTGAAAAAATAAATAAATAAAAGCCTCAAGATGCATATACCTATAAATTTACTCTTTCATTTTTTTTTCCATCTTAATTGAACTGTTCTGTCGATCTCTAATCTCTCATGTTGAAATAATTTCCTTTGAAACAAAGTTAAAAGGTCTGAAATATTTGGTAAGGTAAAGACAAGTTTAATTTGAAATGTGGAGAGCAGTGAAATTATTTTGGAAGAATTTCTTTTCATAAACCAAGCTTCAAAGAAAAAAAAAAGCAAGATTAAAAACGGGCACCAATTTATGTTATAGAACAGAGGTGAGCAAAATATGGCCCATGGGCTGAATCTGGCCTGCCAACTGATTGGATCCAGCCTGTTGAGGGCATTTACCAATTGACTGTATCCAGCCTGCAGCCACCCATGCAACACTCAGCATGGGGCTGAGCCCCACCTGCTCCGGGCTGTTGCACGCTCCTGCTCGACATTCTAGCCCTGGCCGGTGTGCACAGCTTCCCAGTGAGGCTGCTCCCATCACCTAAGTACTGCTCAGCTCCCACTGTCTTCAGCAGCTCCTCCTCCTGCACCACTGCAGACAGAAGGTAGCACATGGAGGCAGCAACAGCCCTGGGGACACATGCCAGGTACCACCCAGGCAGGCAAGGAGGGAAGCTGCAGCCAAAGGGCTCCTGCCCCAGTGCATGGGGCTCCAGCCAGGAGCAGATCATAGCTCTGCCCCAGGCCCCAAACCTACGCTGTTACAACTCCACAATCCCAGCCCCACCTGCCCACCCCACTCCCAGACACTGCTCCCTGCCCACCCCCAGCCCCATCCCATCCACCCAACCGAGTGTATCCTGCCTAGGTGGGTCAGTCTCCATGGAGACCCCAGGATCGCTGGGCAGTGACAGCATGGGGCTGGGCCCCAGGGCAGAGACACTAAGGAGTTTTGGTGAGCTGTTGCAGGCCAGGGTGGGATGGAGGGGGAGGCAGGGTTGCTGACCTGGCCCGCAACAGCTCACCAACATTCCCTAAATGGCCCTCCTGCTCAAATAATTGCCCACTCTTGTTAGAGAAGTAGGTTGATCTCATAAAATGTAGACTTCCACCCGCGCTGAACCTCAGAAAAAGGAAGATTTCATATCTTTTCTCTCTTGGCATCTGACACATTTTTACCTTGCTTAGCATTTAGATCTCACCTTTTTTGACACGGTAAAGCATAGTCAGTGTGTCGTCAGCAGTAAGTGCTGTGACATGCAGATTACTGACAGTTGGCACTTGGCCCGCAAGTGCTGTCAGTTCATGAAAATGTGTGGCAAACATGCAGAAGGCATCAATTTTGCTTGCAATGTATTCTGAAATTGCCCAGGCCAGCCCAAATCCATCATATGTTGAAGTTCCTCTTCCCAACTCATCAATGATTATCAGAGAATTTTCTGTGGCAGTCCTAAAAAGATGAAAGGAAAAAAAAATCATTTTTCCAAGTTTAAATAGCACAAACTCTGAAATTCAAAGTTTAATGACCCATAACTCTGAAATTCAAAGTTTTAACACTAAATACAGTTAGACTAATACACACACACACACACACACACACACACACACACCAAATTTATATTTTGCCCAATTATCATGCTGGCATGACATGTGAAGGAAAGCAAAATCCATGTTAAGTAAAGGAACTTGACTGGTACTCAAGAGGACAGCCTGGCATTGTTAAACTGCACATTTTTGGTCAGGACTCTCAAAATTTACTTGAACTTGAAACACCTTCCCAATAACAAGAGATTACTTCACAACTCCCCACATGATTACTTCACATAAATAAAAAGTTGGCAATTATTTGCATCTCAGCTGAAAGGATCTTGCAATCCCTGGGGTAACAATCCCTAGTTTAAGAGGCAGTGCCTTAAGTAATCAAAGGCAGTAGAATGTAAAGAACTCACCAAAGATCACTTTAACTTTAAACATCATATTTAAAATGTGTCCTACAGATTTTTAAGAAAACAAAGCAGGTATACCTCTTACCTAAGAATTGAAGCAGTTTCTAACATCTCTGCCATGAAAGTAGAGACTCCTTTTAATTGACTGTCTCCTGCACCTACGCGAGCCAGGATACAATCCACAATAGTCACTTCTGCCGAGTCACACGGTACAAAGCATCCAATTTGGGCCATAAGAACTATCACTCCAGTCTGGCGAATGTATGTAGATTTCCCTCCCATATTAGGGCCTAAGGAATTAATTTTACAAAGATATTAAGGAATACAGCTTCCTCTCTGTTTAATATGATTTATAGCTTTACGGTTAACAAATCCAAGACCAAACTGAACTTAAAGCACAACTGAAAGCATTTTCTTGCTACTACTAGGGGAAAGACCTTTAGCTCTGGTGGAACAAATGGCTGCTTGGATGGATTTGATGATAGTTCCCATTCCCAAATACAGTTCTTCTGAAAGGAGAGTAGTTTTCTTCTCAAAAATATGAGCAATCAGAAGTGCATGTTCATACCAGAAAATCAAAGCAAAGCTCATAGGCTCCAATTTTATACTCATTCATCATGACAGCATTTCCTTTAAGCAATTAATGCAGTTTATTTTAACCTAGAAGAGCAGCAACTGACAATCTGCTCTATATAAAGAGCCTTATTTACAGAAAGGGTAGACTGACTGAAATAAGTGATTCAAGTTCCCCCACTGAAACCAGCATAAGAAAGAAACCTGGATTTAAATAACTGATTTTTGTATTTTTCCTAAAGCAGCATCCAGTGAAAGACACTACTTAGCAGCCAAATGAAGCCTGTACTAAATCTTGTACTCTGCTAACCACTGTATCTGGGCACATTTAAGAAATGATGTAGCTTAGCATCCATTTATTCACATTCTTGTACAATAGATTGCTGTTATTATTTTACTCATGATTTGTGTCAAGCTGCATTTGGATGGAAATTAGAATATAATTTAAAAGGTGCGTTATTTCAATATAACCAGCTTAATTGGGCTGGATGTACAAGAACAAGCTATGTTTATCAAAGCATATTTTGCATTTAAAACTGAAAAAACAAAGGAAAAAGTAGCTGCAGTTGGTGAACTGACCATCAAAGATCTACCTCAATATGTCCTAAAACAAAAGTACTTACAAGTCAGCACCTAAAAATACAGAGGTAGCTAATGGAATTTTCTAAAGGACCTAAACGGGTCAAGATTTCCCAACACCTAACTAGTTAAGCAACTTCAAAAGGCTTAAATGGTGTCACACATGAATGTAGGGCTTAGTATCTATTTACAAGTCTGTATGAACAATCATTTGGAAATGTATGCATGCTGGATTACCAGAGCACCCAGCATGAATGGAAATGCTTAATAAAAAGACATAACAGTCACCCTTTGTTTTATAAAACACATGAAGTAAAACAGGTTACAAAAGCCAGACATAAAAACTACCCCCAAATGCCAATGAAGGTATGAGTAAATTAATAACTGCTTTTCCCTTCCTTCTACTGATTAAAGACTCAGCAGTTTGACTTTTTTCTTTTGTAGCATGTCCCACAAGTAAAACTTAAGAAATGCCATTTGAAACATTTGAAAACAAAATCTGAAAAAAATATTGCATATACATTTACCAGTAATAATATGAAACGTCTGCTTGCCCTTCTCAAAGGTGACATCATTGGGAATGAATGCTACATCATCTTGCACTTCAACACAAGGGTGTCTGGAACCTTTCAACACAATCCGTCCTTGTCCCTTCTCCAAAATGACTGGGCGGACGTATGGCACAGGGGCTCCACTTGATACATGAGCAAAACTGACAACAGCATCTAACTGAGCTATCACATCATTCATTGTCTGTATTGGCTCTGCATAACCTATGGAAAAAAAAGGCAAAACTTGATGTATTAACCACACTGACAGTACGACCTGTTTCTACAAATAAATCAGAATTCACTGTACTCACATCTCTCACTTATGTGAAATACAACAGCATCACGTGTAAAACAAATTGATAAATTAGTGACAACCCACATGCCACAGGAGAAGTCAAGAAATTATCGTGCGACTTCTACGCGTGATTACAGAAGGGTGCTCTCATTCTTTGAAGGGGAAGCACCATATTCATACCCATTGCTCCCAACTGACATAGGAGGAAAAAGGAAAGCTTATTTAAATATGGAATACAAATGTACAGAACAGAATAGTTAGAAATCTCTCCCCTTGCATAGTGACTCGTCATTTGGACACATAAGGAAGGCAAGAGCCACTGAGAGCACATACTGCACACGATTTAAATTTTATGCGCTGTGTTAACAGTACTAGAATCTGTAGTGATTAAGCCACAGAACTATAATTACTTTAACACTGCAAGTAGTATAACATGTCAGAAGAAGTGATTAGTGTACTGCAGAAAGTTCATTTCAGAAAATGCTGTTGGGCAATTTTGCCGGGATTTCAGAAGTATCTTGCTGTGCAAAGTTTTAACTCACTCCATTGTCGTGTTGCTGCACAGCTGGGTACAGAACAGAGAGAAATTTCTGGCTAAGTACAGACAGTCAAACAGCTTGAGTCTGAATCGATTCAATCTTTGCAGGTTTCTCTAAACTGCCTAGATTGAACTGATAAGCAAGTGAACTTATGTTCACTTTTCAAACCGGAAAGGCATCCTGACCCTTGCAGCATCCCATACCAGTACCTGGGACACTAGAGCATGCCACCCAGCCTGATGGCCACAGAGAGCCTGGAGCTGACAATTTCCCTAACAAAGCCCTCTCCTCAGCCTCTGGATGCTGGGAATCACGTGGTTTCGGGTGCTGGGGATCACGGGGTTTGGGGGGGGGGGGGAGGAGGGACGGGACAGATGACGGGACACGGACGATGACAGACACGACACGACACGACCCCCTCACCTCCGGCACAAGAGAAGAGAGGAGAGAGGAAGCCCCCAGTGAGGAGTTTCTCTCTGTCCCCACCTCCATGCCCAGAGCTGAAGCCCCCAGCGATGAGTATCTCTCCCTGCCCCACTCCATGCCCTTCCATGCCCAGGGTCTGGCTATGGGCAAGTCCTGTAGCCAGACCCTGTCCTCAGCCCCAGGAAGGCTATGGGGCAGGCATGAGTGGAACCCCCCCCCACCAGACCACCAGCCAGGGTCTCCCTGATGCAGGGGGAAGCCCCCAGTGGGGCATTTTTCAACCCATGCCACCCACCTGCAGCCAGGCAAGTCCCCTAACTGTGTCCCCTCCTTGGCTGGCAAGTCAGCAAGTCAGTGTGGGGAAAAACCCACCCCGCTCCCACCCCCCAGCTCCAAACCCTCAGCCAGGCTGTGCCTAGTGCACATGGGGGCGGGGAGTCCAGCGTGGGGGCTTTACTCCCCCTGCCTGAGCTGGAAGCCAGGAGCCGGACTGATCACCTAGCCACATGCCCGCCTTAGCCAGCAAGACAGCTGAGGAGGGAGTGGGCACAGCCCCGGCTCTTGACCCTGCTGGGCTGTGCCCAGTGACAGGGGCTGGGGAGGGGGAGAGAAGAAATTCACACTGGGGGCTCCCCCCCCCAAGCCAGTCCAGGGCCAGACACAGGCATGGGCAAACCAGATGGCCACCCAGGGACCAGACAGAAAGGGGGCCTGAAAATGGTAATTTAAAAATTATTATCATCATTATCTCTGGTGAAGGGGGGCCTGGTACTAAAAATTCACCCAGGGCCGCCAGGAGTCTAGGTACGGTGCTGAGCCAGGCCAATCCCTCCAGTCAAGGAGGCGGTTGGACTGGGCGAATTGGCTTGGCTCCCAGCTGCAGGGGAAGAAAATGCCCCCCTTGACAGCTAGAGACATGGCCAGCCCTGCTCTGCTGAAGCAGAGAGCACAGCCCAGGGCTGCATGGCATCCTGGGAGGCTGAAGGGCTGCAACTTAACTTGAATCGGGAGGGGACCTGTGCTAGAAGCTGGATAAACCAGTTTGACCTAAATCAGTTCGGTCTGATACTACATCGAACCAGGTTTATCTTAAACCAGTTTCAACCAATTTGAAAGCAGTTTAAGTTCACTGAACTTCTATTCTGTTACAAGTTTCACCCGGTTCCTGATCTTTTAAATTAGTTTATGTGTAACTTCTGTCCCTAGCCTGTATGCCCAGAAAAATCATCACAGCTAGCTCTCAAAAACAGTACTTGATAGAATTAACAGAACTCATTTGCTGGACTTACAGCATAAAAAGTATTCATGAAGGCACAGAACACTGATACCCTGTTTTTCTAACATTTTCTTCAGTATTCTTTGGCTAAAAGATACCCAATTCCCAGTTTTTCCCAAGCTATAGTAGCTAATCATATAGGTTAAAAAACCAAATGTTTAACTTTACGTTATTGTCTGCAGGTTTATGCTTACTAACCCCTTCGGATTTTTCCCCTCAACAATGCAGTGATTGCTTTGAATGAAACTACACCTCTGGATAAGCTAAAATATTACAGAACTCTTCCTCCAGAAATTCTCTGTTATTATTTGAGCAAAAGTCATCCCATTATTAAGATGATCTATTAGCAGAGTATCTTTAAGCTGACTGAACAAACAGGAACGCCTGATGCAGTAGCTCATTTCTAGTACTGTTCCATGAAGGGAACAATGATTTTTATCTGCTGGCCCCTTCTATTTATCCTTTAAGAGGATCCGGACAGATAATGGAGATGAGTGCAGGTAACCAGTGCTAAACATACGGTGAAACAAAATATTTAGCACGTTGCGTAAATATCTAAACAGATTAATCTGTTTTCAAGAACAGTTTGGAAGTGACAGGGACCTGTGCTGACACCAATTGCACATCCTAGATGTAGCAGTGCTGAGGTGATGTTGTAGCCCTAATGGACCATCGCAGTTACAACACCCCAACACTACCACAACATGGAGGATATCAAAATGAACCACTGACAGTGACCCGTCACATACATGGCAACCAAGAGAAGAGCTATAGCAACTCTCCAATGTTTTGTGCGTTAGCACTGCCCTATTACCTGAAGCAATGTTGATGATTTCTTTAACAATGGCATCCTGGGCCTCTTCATACTCCTCTTTGTATTTTAAGTATTCTTCGTTGAAGGAGCTCAATTTACTGTGAAAAAAATCACAATGTTTACAACTTGTGATGTTCCCAGTTTCTACCATATTTTGCTCATTTTTGTCTTTTTGCTTTGTGACAAGCTATCATCATTCCAAAATATCATCAGGTATTTGCTCAGGGGACTTCAATTTAAGCATCAAGATGTGGCACAGATAAGCTGGCATGAACAAATGGCTTATTCTGTTTTCCAGCTGAAGATCCTTGCTGTGACCCTGAAAACTAAGAGTTACATCACTATAAAACTATTCTTGAAGTCCTGCAGTCTATATGTTTGCTATGGATGCAAAGTGTGGCAACTGGATTTTCTTTTAAAGGACTGCATGAAAAGTGGGACTCATGGCTAACCTACCAGGTACTCTGATGTGTGGAAGATCTGATGGAAGGAAAACCAAACACCGAGCAGGTTATTGATTTGCCCAGTGTCATAGAGGGGTCACAACAGGACTATGGACTCCTTTAAAGAAAGCATTTATACCAACATTCAGTTTTCCGTTTGGAGGATCTTAAGTAACTAACTGCACCTTAGCAACATTTCAGTTTTCAAATAAGGTTGATTTAATGCTTCATGTTCAAAGAGACTGTTTAAACAAACTCTTCAACTATCCTTTTATCTTTCTTCTCCAGGTTAGACTTAACAGGACCATACATGAAAGCCTGCACTGTGATTTGTGCCAGTTCTACTATTTGAGAAGTTCAGCCCAAGGTCCAGCGCCCAGCCTGCTTTGAGTGGCTTTATCCAAACCAAATCACAAAATCAGTTTTGGTAAGTGATTCTTGGGCAAACTCCTTAGAAATTACTATTCACTAAAATATATTTCACTTGTTGATGTGAAAGAGCCTAAATCCAAACATCAGCTTAGATCTACAAAGTAAAAAGTTTTTACACAAGAGGGAGATGCTTTATGTTTCATGGTTGCTTTGAAGAACATTATTCTCTTTGCAGCTCAACAAATGTTCCTGTCCTCAGTCTTTTGATTTTGGTCATCTAAACAAATCAGAAGGGCTGCAGTGGGAATGAGCAGTTAAGGCACCTCACAACAGGTCCAGAGGTATGAGTTCAAACCCTGCTTTGAACCAAAGCTATGTTTACACAGGCTGGGGAGTCAGAAGCATTTGCATGCAACTGCTTATAGGAGCCAACATACCTTGCCCAGTGTACTTCAACAGCCCTTGTAGGCCTATCTAGACCATAACTAAAAAAAATGGTGCAAAAGTACACTTAGCCAGTAGGCTCACGCCTCTTTTCAAAGCAGAGAATTTATTGCTCCTGAAAGTGAGTGATTAACAGATACTAATAGCATTAGCTTGAAACCAGCTTACACTGGGTGCAAAGTTCGTCATACAGATCTATCAGTTAAGACCCGTTTCACTAACCAGGAAAAGCGTATCATAATTAACCTCACACCACTTGACACTTTGTCCAAAGGAGAAAGAGCTTTTATCTCAAACTTGACCTGCTGCACACTATTGCTCCAAGCATTTTGCTCCTTAAGTAAACTAAAAGAATGCTTGGAACAGCATGAAGAATAAAGCAGATCAAGCGACAGCTTGTAACTTTAAATGTAAATCATCAACAGCCACAGGTACACAGTCAGGTCATAGCTAATATGCACAAACAGAAAATTTATTTAGCCAAGTGTACTAAGGAACAGAAAGGGGATTACCAAGTCAACTATGTTCTGTTCAGGAACAAGTATAAATGGCTGTTTTGTACAGCAGCCTACAGAAATACATGCACTGCTACAATGAAGGCAGGAAACAGGCTGATGGCTGCAGGCTAAGCACAGTTGCTTACAAAATCAAAGCAGCCAAAGTAGTTGGTATAAATGGGGAAGGCTGGAAGTGTGGTTGTGCCAGTATGCATGCATTTCTGCTTCTTTTCCCCGCTTAGCAATCTCACTCGGTGTTTCATTTTGCAAATAAAAGAGGCAGAAGAAAAGCAAGAACTTCAACACCTAAATACGGCACCAGTATTGTTATGCCAAAAACAACCAAAAAGGATATCTATCAGGTCTGTCCTAACAGACCTGAGAAATAGCTGACACTTCAAATACCTGTTAGTGAATTTCACACCATTCTTCTGGGTGTCTAAGATTTTATATTTTGCATTGTTCCGGAGGACTTTCTCTTCTTTGCAGGTGATTCGGAAGTGATGCCCTAACTGTGAACTGGACTCCAGTTTGATGCTCTTGCTAGCCTCCAACCCTTTGGATAGAGGGAAGGTGGGAGAGGAGGAGGAGAATGAGTACGTATCACTGTGTTATCTATATTTATTAATTTGCATTCTCTGAACATTGTTAATTTACTTGCCACTTTAAATTATATTGGGCAGCAGAACTAAGTGTCACATGAAGGGGGTTTTTGGGGACATGCTTAATTATTATCAGTTCAAAGAAGCCAAAGTAGGTACCTACCTAAATTGTGACAGTACCTTTAAAATCTCACCCGAAGATCTCATCCTTTTCACGGCCCACCCCCCACGCCCCCAGCAGCCAAGAGGCAAAAACCACAGTATTCATTAATTTTGGATGCACACCTTGCTGGGATTATTTGACCCCAGCAGTCTTTCCTGCCCAGAGCAGGGGGACTGGACCCAATGATCTCACCAGGTCTCTTCCAGCCCTAAACTTCTGTGAATTGCCTCCGAGGGGAGGGGAGGGGAGGGGAGGGGAGGGGGGGCAACAAAGTGAGATTAAAGGCACCGCTAACTTCAGTCACAATTTAAGTAGGTCCCTAAAGATAAATTACGTGCCATCTTTTGAACACAACAAGTTCAGCTACAGACTGAAGTAGGTGACCAGGCAGGTATGATCCTTCATGCTTTTCATACTGCAAGGAAGGGCACAGATGCACACCTGCAGATGCACACACGCAATAGTGAATACCATCTATGTAGGGTACATTTGAAACCTTCAAAAACGGAGAGACAAGCTCATGGGAGCAAAGCCATATTGTGAAAAAAAAACTGAACATCATCTCAAATATTAATATACTTTATAAGCAGTGCCAATTTTCTCTGCTACTTTTTTCATTAAGCAGGTGACTATCACTGACTAAATCTACCACCTCATCTTGATTGTATTACACAATAAATATTAGCCTGTAAAATGTTTAGGTATGCTTCAAAGGAATTCAGCCATATATTGATGTGTACCTTCTTACCACACAAAACTATCCATTCCAAAACTGACACCTAAATGAATGGACAAGATAAGATTCATGTTTTCATGGAATTTAAATTAAAAAGAAATTGAGATGGCTAGAAGGAGTTACATTAATGGCAGATGAACTGGGCAGTCTCCTGAGCCATGTCTGGTTACCTGTGGAACATTACCCTTGTTAAAAAATAATCTGGGCCTAAAATCATTGTTAGTCTCCACCGACCAGCTTAGATACCAGTACCAAGCTGTGAATTGCCTCCGAGGGGAGGGGAGGGGAGGGGAGGGGAGGGGGGGCAACAAAGTGAGATTAAAGGCACCGCTAACTTCAGTCACAATTTAAGTAGGTCCCTAAAGATAAATTACGTGCCATCTTTTGAACACAACAAGTTCAGCTACAGACTGAAGTAGGTGACCAGGCAGGTATGATCCTTCATGCTTTTCATACTGCAAGGAAGGGCACAGATGCACACCTGCAGATGCACACACGCAATAGTGAATACCATCTATGTAGGGTACATTTGAAACCTTCAAAAACGGAGAGACAAGCTCATGGGAGCAAAGCCATATTGTGAAAAAAAAACTGAACATCATCTCAAATATTAATATACTTTATAAGCAGTGCCAATTTTCTCTGCTACTTTTTTCATTAAGCAGGTGACTATCACTGACTAAATCTACCACCTCATCTTGATTGTATTACACAATAAATATTAGCCTGTAAAATGTTTAGGTATGCTTCAAAGGAATTCAGCCATATATTGATGTGTACCTTCTTACCACACAAAACTATCCATTCCAAAACTGACACCTAAATGAATGGACAAGATAAGATTCATGTTTTCATGGAATTTAAATTAAAAAGAAATTGAGATGGCTAGAAGGAGTTACATTAATGGCAGATGAACTGGGCAGTCTCCTGAGCCATGTCTGGTTACCTGTGGAACATTACCCTTGTTAAAAAATAATCTGGGCCTAAAATCATTGTTAGTCTCCACCGACCAGCTTAGATACCAGTACCAAGCTTTTACATATCAATTTTCATCAGTAGATTTCAAAACACTTCACAAAGGAAGTAGATCCCACAGAAAATCTTACCCCACCATACCTAGCTCTCTAGCTGCTGTCTTAAGACAAGATTGCATGGACTCCTCTATTTCGTTCATCTTCTCTCTCAACTCTGTCAGGTTAGGATCAAAAGAAGGCTTTACAAGGAATTCATGGTTTTCCACCTGGAAAACAGAGTGAAACAATTAATATAAATATAAAGAGCAATCAAAAAGTGTTATGACACAAATTATGCACTAATTAGATGTTGCTCATTTATTTCGATTCGTTTAATCTTTTGTGGTACATTTCATCATTCACTAATGTGCGTCTTAGATTATATCCTTGGTTGATTGGAATTTGACTAATTCACCCACAAAGCAAATGAGTCCCCCAAACATCTGCTTGTTAATACAAATACATCATTCTTCATACAGGCAAAAAATTACCAATCTGACAGATCCACTTACCTTCAAGACAGACTGATTTATCTGAATATACACAAAGCTCAGTACTAGCAAACAGACACATTTGCCAAGTGCGATGAAAAGACTGTTACATGACTCTCATTCTGCATAACATCCTAGATTTACTTCTCTTCTAGACATAGACAACAAACGGGTATTGGAGGGGTGGGGGGAAGGGGTTACAAACCAGGAAGTTTTCTAAAACGAGGAGCTTCTGCTTCTCTGCAAAAGTTCTAACAAAGGAATACTCCACAGGGTTATGGAAAGGCACTTTCCTGCACATCAGCCAAAACCCATAGTCCAACATAAGCACAGGAAAAGGTAGGGCTAGAAAGGACCTCCACTCAACTTAAATCCATGTCTTTTTTTCTGTACAGCTGTACAATACATGGGTTCCCTGTAGTCATATTAGGCCATTTTAAAGTGACTTCACAGTAGGAACTGGTAATGCAATCTAGAGATTTAAGATTCTATATTAAGTATTTCAAGTTTAAAGGGCTAAATAGCCACCAAAATAAGTTCCCATATGAAGCTTCACAATGCAGTATATGCAATATGAGCTGCTAGTCCCATGCTGGTCCACCAGTACCTCAGCATCAATATTCTTTACTTTACTGGCTCTGTACTTACACTAGAGAACCAAACCTTTGGTAAGAAAACAAACTGGAAAATACCAGCAGTACAATGTGCCCATGCTGAGCATGCTGCCTAAGTTGCAGTTTCAGCCTTTATCACTATCTAAATGCCCAACACACAGTTCCCAGTACCATCACCTGAAACAATGGTTTATGGGATTTTTAATGGCCAGTTGGGAACACACAAGACTTGTGAAAGACAGTGCTGGACTCAGACCCAGTATTTCCTGAGGAAGCTTCCCCATAAGGGTAATATTTATTTTAAAAGCCCTTTCTTGAAATGGATGGCAAGAAGAATGGCTTGCCAGGGTTTGTCCTAAATTTTGAAAAGCAGCTGTTATGTCAGTGTAGCAGTATCAGTGAGGGTGTTACTAGAAATACCCACAAAGAGCCAAGACCAAGACCAGCAGCTGACAGGCAGCTCATGCACCCAGACCTTTTGGGGTAGCCAGCTTCATGCAGCACCTGAGAATTCTCTCTCATTGGGCAACATGTCACTTGTGTGATAAGGCTACCACCTCAGGCTTATGGGAGACAGCTGTTTGAGCCCTGGAATAAGTACAATTTTAGGATGAAGAAGATGACTCCTCTCTACCTCTGTGATGAGCTAGAGGTCAACAGTAATGTCAGATGCTAAATCTGGCCCTTCTGCAAGTCCAAGTCCTTGCTCATGGTGCTTATAAAAGGCCTAGCAAAACAAGGGGTGGGATCCAAGGGCCAGAACATGCATCAAACATTCCTATCCTGTTGCAAGGCTCCCCTCTTCACTCAAGCTTCAAATTCTCTAATTCAACAACTGCCTGAGCCTAAGCAGAGGACAATCACCCTTGCCCTCTCCCCATAAAGGAACTCTGCTAGGCTGCCATTTTGCACACAGTCCCGAATGGCTTGGTACATTGCCAGACGGAACTGAGCATTGGCTCATGGGGCCTAAAGCTCTCAGAGGGACCCTCTTGCAACAGTTCCACTGTAAGGTAAATTTACCTGCAAGACAAAATTTCACTCACCCAAGGGGCTCTGATTGATCTCAAGCTGCAGCTATTTCTACCCTGGCCCAAACAAGGTCAGCACCGGGCAAACCTCTTAACCCACAATGGCAGGAACCATCTCACATTTCCCTCACTCATTACTTGTGACATTACCACTAAGGTCCCTTGTTCCAGATACTCCAGTGGAAAACACATATAACACTTTGCTCGCATAAAAAAGCAAAGCATAAGCATGGCTGGACCAATGCTCCCTCCCCCAAGAAAGTTCCCTCCTAATTCAGCTAACGGATCATGCTCCCTCCCTCACTTGCTCTTGTCCTAGCCTCATGATTCTTGCACTCTTAGCTGCCCAAAAGTTCAATTTCATTGGAAGCAGTGGAGGGGAACATTCTTCTCAGTCTAGCCTGTAGCCTGGAGGTTATATCACTCTGTAAGATGGGAAATTTGGGTTTGTCCCCCACTCAGCTAAAGAGGGCCTAGCATCCAGGTGTCCTCCACAGAACTGAGCTTCCTACTAGACTACTGAGCAAGACGTGGCCCACTTTGTTTAAGAATGATTTGGGGAGTGCTGTACTTTATTCTGCACTTAATGTGTCTGTCTTTTAAGATGCTCTGGTTCAGGTAGGTGCCTGCCACTCTGAACAGCCTGGCTGTCCAGGGTGCCAGATGTGCCTTGCTTGTAGCCCCGAATCAAATGTCTGAACTCTGAGGAAAAGGAGTTCAGACACATCTCTACCCCTAGTATTTATCATCAGGTGTAACAAGTGAGGTCATAATCACCCTTAGGGGGCACTCACATCTCCTCATTTACAGCCCAGAAACTCTACACATCTCACCCTGTCTATTTTGATCACCTTCTAGAGGTAAAGGCATTAGATACCGTGACATGTTAGTAGGTAAAATGCTTACGCACCTAGAGGGACAATTTGGATGTGGCCCTTAATCTATTTTTTCTGAACTTCTCTCCAGTAATTTGAAAAGGTATAAAATTAAAATACTTAAACAGATGGATAAATACCAACCTAATACCCTAAATTTGCAAGCAATTAAGTATAGGAATACATTTATACTCAAATGAGTGGACCCATTGAAGTCTTCTCAATGGAGCTATTCAGATGGATAAATTTACAGGTGTTTAGGTTTTTGCAGAATCAAAGAATATGTAAACTAATTTTGACTGAACCCTTCCATACGGCACCACACACTAGATACTTTCATAGAACAGTCAAAACCACATACATCAAGTCTATGGAAAGTGATAACTAATGATAGGAAGGGAAAACATTATTAACATTTAATACAGCTAGTTAAATGACTAAATTATACGGAACTGCAAATATGTGGCAGTTTTCAAATAATGATCTTTGATCCCTAGCCTAGGAAGCTTACTTTGAATGGATTTCTGATACAATTTGGTTGCTATGACAACTTGTAAGTCTATCGTACTCTATTCTCTGCTAAAGAGTTGGACATTTTATTTAAATCCTATAAGAATCTAGCAGAGCCAAGAGGTTAAAATTTTAATGCTTATTCTGAGGAAAGTTTACTGTTCAGTAAATCCACAGCTGGCTAATCAATAGCAGGTTTAATTAACTCCACTGCCTTGAAAACATATCCAACATGACACATTTTATAGGGCATCATTAAAAATATCCAAGTAATTATTTTGGTTAGAAGTGCAGTAAAAACACTTATCTAAAAAAAGCTGAAAAAAGATCTGAAGAGATGAGCCCTGAAAGGTAAAGGCTTATCTGACAAGCCTTTGGTTTAGATAAGAAAACAAGAGTCCCAAGACATACAACTACATAAACAGATGGTCTCCAACTAGCATAAAATTATAAATTCTAGGGCTCTAATTTTCATCGGGACATCTAGGTGTCACTTAATAAAAATTAATTAGCAGATCAATCTGACAGTTTAACATAGTGTAGCAACAGAGCTATACATAAACTCACCTTTAAAAAAAAAAAAGCACAGAAACTTACTATATATAAAGTATGTGAGTAGTTTATTTAATATGAACTTAGGAAAGTAGGGCTGGAAGGGACCTCACAAGATCATGTAGTCCAGCGTTTTTCAACCCATGGGTCACGACCCAAAAGTGGGTCGCAAGAATATATGAAACGGTTGTGAACAAACTTTAAAAACAGATTCTCCTTTAAAGGAGAAAAACATGGGAAACTCTGGGTTTCCCCTTGCAGGCTGGCAGAGTTCCTGTCTGCACGGGGGTGCTTGGGAGAGTGGAAGGAAGGTGATCAGGCAGGGGGTGCCACATGCATGTGTGCGCACACAGGCACGTGGCATCCAGGCAGTGTGGAAAGCAGCTTCTGCAGCTCCCCGCAGGTAAATCTACAGGGCAGGGGACATAGACAATATGCTAGGTGAGCAGGGGGGCACATGCAACACATCAGGAGGGTGGGGCACGTGACCTCCCAGATTTGAGTACCCGCACATGGCACCAGGGTGCAGGCTGGCTGGACCTGCATGAGCAGAAGCTACTGTCACAGCCCACTGGGCAGGACCCAGCACAGGAGGGTGGAGCAGGGCAACGAGACTCATTGCTGCCACTACTGTCAGGACCCCTGCTCCAGCTGCTGCACCAGCCGAGCCACCAGCAGCGCAAGGAGTACCAGATGAGGAGGCCACAGCCCTCACCTCCTCCTGATGCCAGCTGCTTGGTGCATCACGCCGCGGCAATACCCTGCTGCCATGGCCCAGCTGCTGCTGTCATTGCCGCTCCCCTCAGGTTATGACTCTACCCCGGAGGAGAGGTGGGGCAGCAGGAAGCACAGGTGGCAGCTCATTAATGACTCTTGGTGCAAGGAGGTGAGGGCAGCGCGGCCCCCTCCCATCCATTACACTGCTGGCAGCACAGCTGGCTCACAGATCCTGGCAATGGTGGCTGCAGAAACAAGTCTCACCACCCAGCTCTGCTCTCCCGTACTGGATCCTCAACGCTGAGCCATGGAGGTGGCTTCTGCCTGTACCAGTCCGACCAGACTTCAGCCCCATGTCTGCTGTGGGCATACAAATCTGGGGAAGGAGGGCGGGGGGTATGTGCACCTCCCCTGCTCCAAACACCTACCCCCTGCCCCACACACTGTGGGGCTGGGGGCAGTGGGTTGGGAGTGAGGGGCACCAGCAGGATTGGGGGCCTGTTTTTTACTTAAGCTATTTACTGGGTCAGGACTGGACATCAATGTTTACAAATGGGTGCTGGTACAAAAAAGGTTGAGAGCCACTCATCTAGTCCAGCCCCTTACTCACAGCAGGATCAGCCCTAACTAAACCATCCCAGCCAAATGTCTGTCCAAGCTGCTCGTGAAAACTTCCACAGGTAGAGTCCACAACTTCTCTAGGTAGCCTGTTCCCACGCTTGATCACCCTTATAGTCTGAAAGTTCTTCAATCTCCAAGCTAAACCTTGCTCTGCTGCAGCTTAAGGCCACTTCTCCTAGTCTTCTCCCCTTCAGCCACAGAGAAACAGGCCATGGGCACATCTCTATCCTCCCTATAAACTGTCCTTCAGGAATTTGAAGACTTATCACATTCCTTCTCAGTCTTCTCTTTTCCAGACTAAATAACCCTGATTATTTTAGCCTTTCCGTAGGCCTCCAGTAACTTTTGTTGCACTCCCAGCTGGACTCTTTCTACCCTCTCCAAATTCCTCTTGAACTGTGGGGCCCAAAACTGGACACAGTACTCTAGGTAAAGCCTCAGAAGTGCTGAACAGAGTGGAAGAATCATTTCCCTTGATTTACAAGTGACACACCTGTTGATACAACACAGTGGGTGCATCTACAGGAGACGCTGACTGCACAATAGCTGAAAAATACTGTGCAGTACCTCATCACAGCATGGACAGTGCTAATACACTGTTGTGCAGTAGGCTACTGTGCTGTAGCATCACCTAGAAAACATTCACTGGTGCTACTGTGCAGTAACTCCGGTTACTAGCTAATCCTAGGTGAAATCAGGTTAGTCAGGCGTGACTTACTCTTGGTAAATCCTCATTGGCTATTCCAATCACTTTGTTCTCCCTTAGGTGCTACACAATACATTCTTTGAGGACCTGCAACTTGTTCTTTCAAGGTACAGAGTTCAGGTTGACTGGTCTGTAGTTCCCCAGACCCTCCATTTTTCCTTTCTTAAAGACGGGCACTATATTTGCCCTTTTCCAGTCACCTGGAACTTGACCTAACTTCCGCAAGATCTCAAAGAGGATAGCCAATGGCTCCAAAATTACTTTAGCCAATTCCTTCAGTACCCTAAGATGCATTGCATCACATGCAGTCCTACCTATTTGAAAGCAGCTAGCTTTTCTAAATAACCCCCATCTGTTCTGCTATTACCCTAGGATAGTGGGGGCCAAACTTTGTGGCAAGTATGCCACTCCAACACCCTTTCCCAATCTGCTGCTCTGTTTTCTGCCCTGCTGGTCTGCCACATACCACATACAGAAACCACCCGTGCCACTTACAACATGTGCTGCAGGTTGGCCAGCCTCACCCTAGGCTGTTTGACACCTTCCCCATCTTTGCTACCAAATGCACTAGTCAGCTGGTAGCTGTCCCTACTTGTGAAGACTGAAATTAAAAAGGCATTAAATTAGGGATGACAAACAATTTTAAAAATTAATCGCAATTAATTGTAAGATTAAAAAAAAGTCACAATTAGTTGCAATTAAGCAAGTCAGCAGCCCCCACCCAACAGCATGGAGCCCATGCACCCTGTGGCTCCTCCCTGCCACAGCCCTAGCCCTGACCCCCCGTTCACCCCATCCCACTCTGGACTTGCCCCAGGCGAAGCAGAGCAGCTGGAACCCGTGTGAACATCCCTGACCCTAGCCCGCCCTGCACCTGCTCCGGCAGTGGTGAGGGTGAGGAGCCGCTTTTCCCTCCATGCCAAACAGCAGCTTCTGCCCGACCACTGCTGCTGGTGCTGCTCAGCATGGGCAAGTGAATCTGGAGCAGGCTCAGGGTGGGCCGGGGTCAGGGCTGTGCACACAAATTCTGGATGGTCCACCCCTCTGGTCAAAACAATGTGTGCAATTAATGTAATTAAAAAAATTAATGCGTTAATTTGTACTTGCGTTAACTGCGTAAGCTAACTGCAATTAACTGACAGCCCTACATTAAATACTCGAGCCTTCTCTGCCTCATCCATAACTAGACTGCCTGCCTCATTCTGTAAGAGATCTATGGTTTCTTTGGTTTTCCTCTTCCTCACAACATAATTGTAGAATTCTTGCAACATAACTGTAGAATTCTTTTTTACTGTCCTTTAAGTTCCCGGCCAGTTGCTTCTCAAATCATACCTCATCCTTCCTAATTTTCTCCCCACAAGCCTATGAGACTGGAGATGCACCGATACATCGGTCCGATATTGGATTGGTACCAATATCAAGAAAATTTGCTGTATCATATATCGGCTCAATGGGGCCGATAATTTGGCCAATAAATGCCCATGCTGCACACAGCTGCAGTGCAGCACAGAGCAGGGCTGGCAGCATGGAGAGTTGCCTTCAGCTGGTAAGTCAAAAGGGGAGAGGGAAGGGAAGGGGCGTGGGGAGGCAGATCAATGCCCCTGCAGTGAGGGAAGGAGAGGGCAGGGGCTGCCTGGGGTGGGGCAGGGGTGCAGGACGGAGCTGTGGCTCATGGAGGGGAGCGGCTCCTGCCGCTGGTTGCACCCCAAGAGGACATGGGGGGGGGGGGCGCCCCCTGCCGCTGCTTGCACCCCAAGAGGACATGGGGGGTGGGGGACAGGGAATGGGTGTGCCCCTCTGGATCTGCACAGGGCAGGCAGAACAGGCTGCAGCCGGCACTGCACAGCTCTTCTTGGGGGTGCCTGGGGTCAGAGCGGGTGCTGGCGGCGCTGGGAGGGGTTGCAGCCATCCCAAATTTTGCCGCAACTCCATTTGTAGCGCCGCGCTGCCAGGCGTAGCCCAGCTCCATGTCCTGCCTCCACCCACGTGCTGGGAAGAGCTGAGGCTGTGCCAGGCGGCTGGTGGCAGTGGCGGCAAAACCTGGGGTGGCTGCAGCAGTGGCATACCGTAGGTTTCTGGCACCTTGGAACCAATGCCTGCATTTGTGCACCCCCCCACCCATGGACGATCTGAGCAGGATGCAAGGCCTAGGCCAAATCAGCCTGTGTGGGCCCCCCTCTCCCGTCCCATGGCACTTCTGCGGGGAACTTAACAGCATGGCACTTCAGACGCAGGGTGAAGGGCGATGGCCGAAATTTCCAGCTGTAACAGGTAAAGAAACTTACAATCTGCCAGGTGGGCTACACACCAAATGTGAGGGGCACCGCAGCCTCTCCACCCGGCTCTGAAGGGCCTGATC